TCGCATGTGTGTGCTCGTTGTTCCCAACTCCAGGGGGCGGTGCTCATCTCTGTTTCTGAGCCAAAGAGCCAGCGCTGTCCGAAGATGTCTCCGTGGTCATGTGGCCAGCAAGACTAAACACCGAAGGCGCACGGAACGCTCTTCCCTTCCCACCAAAGGTGGTTCCTATTTTTCTACTCGCATTTTTTACGTGCTTTCGAACTGCTAGGTTGGCAGAAGCTGGGACAAGGAACGGGAGCTCACTCCGTTACACAGTGCTAGGGATTCGAACTGCCAAACTTTCTGATCGATAAGCTCAGCGTCTTAGCCACTCAGCCACCGTGTCCCTATACGGCAGTCAAAACAGGAGTTGCTGTCTGTCTCCTCTCCGCTACTCCTCCCAAAAGAGGTTGAATTTATGGATGAAATAAAACCGGGCTTCTTCAAACATTTTTTAAAGGAATGAAGAGAGATTCAGATAATGTTCCATGGCCAAATTCCACTTAGCAATTAACCCACCAACCTCAACTAATTCTAATGTGATCAGGCTTGCTAAATTTTGGCAAAACAGGTTTTGTTTCCAATCTTGGATGAATTAGCAATAGCGGTATAGAGGGGGTGGTGGTGATTTATTCATAACAATGTTTCTTTAATCCTGGATGCATTAGCAATGGCGGTGGATTTCGCCCCCAATTCTGGATGAAAACATTTTTCCAATTCTGGATGAATTTGCCATAGCAGTCATTTCCCCCCTGCCAATTCTGGATGAATTATTAATACTTTTTCAATCTTGGATTAAGTGTTTTTTCCCCCCAATTCTGAATGAATTAACAATAGTAGATTTCCACCACACATTCTGGATGAGGTATTAATATTTTTTTCTCTTTTGGGTATTTTTCCAGTTCTGGATGACTTAGCCATGGTAATATTTTTTTCCCAATTCTGGATGAATTATTAATACTTTTTCAATCTTGGATTAACCCCCCCCCCCCCAATTCTGACTGAATTATCAATAGGTTTTTTTTTAATTCTGGGTTTTATTAATACTTTTTCAATTTTGGATTAAGTCCCCCCCCAAAATCCTGAATGAATTAACAATAGTCTTAAAAAAAATCTGGATGAATTAATACTTTTTTCAATCTTGGATTAAATCCCCCCCCCCAATTCTAAATGAATTAACAAGATTTTTGTCAATTCTGGATGAATTCTTAATACTTTTTAAACCTTGGATATTTTTCCAGTTCTGAATACACTTAAAATAGCAGGTCTTTTTTTTTTCCAATTCTGAATTATTTCCCCCAGTTTTTGATCAGTTAGCAATAGATCTTTTTGTTATTATTATTATTTCAAATTCTGGCTGTAATAGCAACAGCATCGCTGTCCTCCTACTTCCGGGTCTTCGCCCCACCCCATTTCGTGACGTCATCCACTCCACCCGTTTCCCCCCTCCTCCTTCCCGCGGGGCCCCGCCCCCTCACCAAGAATAACAACCACCCTCAGCGCCCAGCACGAAGGGCACCCGCTTATCCCGGCTGAAGGGCAACAACACTTTCGGCACATTCAGCTTATAGGCTCCCGCTGGCCCCGCCAGAAGCGCCACGGCGAGGAGGAAAAGCGGAGGCGGCGGAGCCCGACCCGGCCGGGAAACCGCCCACATCTTCGAAAGGAGCCCGGCCGCGGCTTCCAAAATGGCGGCCTGAAAGCGTTGGTCCTCGCCCGCGCGTGTTGCCCTTGCGCGCATGCGCCGCCTCGCCGCGTTCCAGCCTCGCGCTTTCAGGTCCTCTCCCGTGTGCGCTTGCGCGCTCTCGCCTGTTCTAAAGCGTGGGAAGAAGAGACGCTTCCTCGCGTTTGCGCCTGCGCGGACGTGTTATGTATTTATTTTATTGTTTGTGACGTATTTATTTATTTACACGGAGTTTGAATTATTCAATTATTGGATTTCTCGGCAAAAGAGCGAGGAGAAAGGCTTGGCGGAACGTGAGCGGCCATCTCTGAGGTGCAATACCACAGGCGACCAAGAGAGGGCAGCTAAGGACACCCTACACTCCGGCTTTTGCTGCCATCTAGCGGCGGTGCCAAGACTTGCAATGCAAACCCAAAAAAGTTCAATGCAATATGTGGCCATTCTAGAAATTTTTGCTGTGGAGAGCTAACCCTAAGTGGAATTTTCACTCCATTACGCAGCGTTGTGAGTTCGATCCTAGGCAGAGGCAGATATTTATCTCTCTCTCTGGGCACAATGAGAATGTATCTGCTGAATATAACTCCGCACTGGTGACAGAGAGGCATCCGGCCAGAAAATACAGTGTTAGCTCGATTCAGTTGCTCAGACTCCAACACGCAAGGGATTATGAGGTTGTTAAATGGAGATGATTGCAGCTCATACGATTAAAAAAAAAATCCGGATGTTTGGTGACTGCCTCATTTATGACCGTTGCGATCTCCCGACAACAGGGAAAGCCGGTTTTGCTTCGCTGCCCTCTTACTCTTTTAACAACCGCGGCGATCCACTTAACAACTGCGTCAAGATAGGTTGCAAAACGGGGGAATCACTTCGATGTCTCCGCAAAAGACACTTTGGGCTCAGCCGTGGTCGTATGCCGAGGACTACCTGTACTGAACAGCCCCACCCACCAGTGAAAACACTAGTAAAAACAAATCACCAAGCAGCAGAGGGAATGTTTCTGTTTATTATTATTCCAAAAAAAGACAATAAAAGATTGAAGCATTTTTTTTTAGTATCAAAACACTTGATATAATTTCCTCATTCCTCCCTCCCTCTCCCCCCCCACCTCAAATACATACACCGGCTCTAAAAAGCCATGGCAGCGTATACAGTATTCTTCCTATGACACCCCAAAGGCCTATACAGATATGCATTTTAAAAAAATTTAACTTTTAGGGGATCAAATTTCGAGAGTACGGAGGCGTCCCCCGTACATCAAGACAGAACGATCAACTCCCTGGCTCGAAATGGTACAGGGGAGGCAAAAATCCCCCCTCGTATTCAAGAGCACCCCAAAAAGTTACAATCCTCCCCCCCCCCAAAAAAAACCCCTTCGCGCGGATCACCAAGTACCCAGAAACTTAAACCTAAGTGGGAAGAAAACGTGGGTTATTCGGATATAGTGTTTTCCCCGAAGTGTCAGAAAAAAATGCAGGAAAGAAAAGAGCGAAGGAGCTTAACGATTTATATGGGTTTAAAGAAAAGGAAACTTTAAATTTAAAAAAAAAACCAACACGCACGGAGCCCCGATTATGTTTTTCTTTTCTTATTTTTAAACACAGTGCTCTTTCCCCCCCCCCCCACAGCTGGAAAAAGGTTATAAAAACACGGATTAAAACAGCAGCGGACAAAGCACAAACCTCAGCCCAACGTACTTCCTTAAAAAGCCAAATTTAAATATCCCCCCCCCCAAAAAAAATGGGAAAAAGGGGAGAGGCAAGAGGAAAGGCTTTTTCCTTGCGGAAGCGAACGTTAGTCCCCCGTTAGTGGACACCGCAAAAGCTTTTGCTGGTTGTTTCGGACCAACGATGGGATTTCGGATAATTCATTCGATCGACCGCTCCATCGGATCGTGGGGGGAGGCTCATCCGATTCAGAAGGGCAAACAAAACAGTACATTGATTAAAAAGCTGCATGCTTTCGGGGGTCGGCCACTGAGGGGGGAAAATACTTTGTGATGGGGGGGGGGCGTTAACCTGAAACACACATCGGCCACGTAATAATTTCAACGCCTTAAATTTCACGCCTTCCAGTCGCTCACTCCCTTCAAATTCTTCCAATGGGGGCTGCCTCTTTTTCCTTCCTTCCGGCTGAAAATTTAAGGAATGTCTCGGTGGGCAAGGAAGAAAAGGAAAAAAAAGAAAAACACAGCAGAGGTGTTTTTTAAAAAAACTAAATTGGTCCCCCCAAATATCAAGAATGTAATTTATGACTTTTTTTCCCCCCCTCGGGAGGGTTAGAGGTCAACTTTCTGGTTGTTATCATTTTTTCCCTTGGGAGAAAAAAAACAACGAACAGAGTTGAACCCGCATGGAGAATGGCTGCTCAGGAGGGTGGGAGGGGGCTGCCGTTGCCTCGGGTCTTTTTTTTTACATGTCGTTCAGATCGAGGAGGGTCTGGTCCAACATCCTTTGCGTGCAGAGATGTTCCTCTTTGGTGCATTTCAGCTTATCTGCAAAGAAGGACAGGAAATGTTAACGGTGCTCCGAAATTTGCTGCATTTATTTCCACCACCACCACCCAAAAAATAGGTGCACACACACACACACCCCAGCATTGCCATGCTGCCACGCAAAGCTTCGATCGGCGTGGATTGTGCTTCTGTGTTGCTCCCCCCCCCCCACAGCTCCCACCGGGACGGTTCTCTCATTTCATACCATGTTTCCCCAAAAATAAAACAAGGTCTTATTTTCTTTTGACCTTCAAAACTATTGGCGTTATTTTTGGGGTCTTATTATTTTTGAGGTGCAGGAGGCGGCGAGCGTGGTCACCTCACGGCTGCTCCTGTGTTGCGATATTTTCGGGGAGGGCTTATTTTAGCGCATGTGCTCAAAAAGCCTGATTGGGCTTATTATTATCCGGAGAGGTCTTATTCTGGGGGAAAACCGGGTATATATAAATAACCCCGTGCGGTTGTTGGTTGCCGTTGTGCCCACTGGCCATCCGTTTTGCCGAAAGATAAGCAGAGCTTCGTGCGGTGTGAGCTGGGGGGGGGGGGAAACCCACGAAACTCGACTCGCGTAACTTTCCCCCGCCAATTTCTGCCGCGGGCTGAACTGAAGTTTACGGAAACAGCTCGTCCAAAACACTTCAATCTTGACCCTTTTAAAGGAGAAGATTTGTAGCTCAGGGTAAAAACGAGGAGTCTTTGGTGCGCGCTGGTTTTCTTAACAGTCGTTTCACGACGCAAACTTGGTAACATCAACACTACCAGCCCTGATGATGTTCCCTCGTCGGGTCGTGAAACGTCTGCAAGAAAAACACCCAGCTCGGAGAGTCCCAATCGTTTCCGTTTTTTCTTGCCGCATGTGGCAAGGTTCAGTTCTTGGTTTCAAAGACAGGTGAAGTCCGGAAGCCTGATTCCAAATCTGGAAGCACAACGGGACAATTTCTGGGCTGGGAGGACACACAAGCATCGCACATGTGGCTCCGGGGACAAAACGACAACGTTTTGCTGGTGATGGTTTAGCTCGTATGTTTTCCTGCCTTGAATGGAAGAGATGCACAGGTTTTTTTTTGGGGGGGGGGGTGTTTGAAGGACTGTGAGCCAAGAAAGTTGCGAGCCTCGCAAAATAATAATAATAGGGAAAAATGCAGCGGAGAGTCTCAGGATAACATGCAGGGGGAAGGATCCGTTTTGAAAGATGCTCCGCCTCGTAAATCCCAAATCAAAACCATCCAGTGCCTTCCCTGGGGAAGCAAACGGAGGTTCATTAACACACACAAACCCCACAAAAACGCCCACATCAGGCTGGGGCAACTGTGTCACCCTGGCCAGATTGTGGCTGGTTCGTTTTAAATTCTCGTTTTTGGCAGGGATGCCGATCCTTCAAAGTTGAGAGGAGCCCGAGAAAGCGTGAACGGCCCGCAATTCTCCCCCCAAAGTTTAGCTGACAAAAGATTAGAACTCAGATCTTCCATTTCCAGGTCAAAGTCTCTCCCCTCCCGCCCCCCCTCAGTGACCAAAGCTGGAAAGCTTGCTGTGCAAAGCAGAAAGGGCTAGGATTTGGAAAGGAGGGGAGGAATATATTCTCCGGTATTTTCCAACTATCAGCAGGGAGGGAAACACCATTCGGAGTCCGTTTCCAGGCCAAACAACCATCAGCCAGAATTGAAAACAGCCTTTTATTAAAGCAACAAAGGATATATATATTTTTCCCAGTGCAAAAAAAAATTAAAATAAAACATGCTTCCTACACAAACTAGATGCCTCTGGCCGTTTCCAGCTTCCGCATCACCGGCCGGATGGAGCCACGGATCGTCCTTGTGTTGTGGCCTGCTAGCGGCCACTGGAGCTGGCAGCAGAGTCGGACAGTGGGGAGGGTTGGGGAGGAACATGGGCCAGTCCTGGAGTCTGGGGAAGGCTCTGTGTCAGAGGCAGAGAGGGGGCCAGGGCCGTATGCCAGTTATCAGCTGCCTTCGGAGTCAGACATCAGTGAGGCAGAAGAACAGCTGGAGCCTGTTCCCTGTGTGCGCATGCACAGAGTTGCCGGACACGAAGGGAACAGGAGCCAACTTGGGAGGAAGGCCACAGGTGGACGGTGAATGGCCCCTCCCAGAGGGAATAAAAGAGGAGCGACAGGGGAGTGGAGTTTGCAGGAGACAATTCCTTCACTTAATTGGTTCGGGACTCTCCGAGACTCCTGGCCAAGTTCTGCAGATCTCAGCCTGGCAGCTCTCCAAGCCAGATAAGGTCTGTGACCGTAAATCCTCCCTCGAAAGACTTTGCTGGATGTGAAGGAGGAGAATTCACAGCCAATTAATAAAAAGGGTTTTTTGTCGGGATAAGGAGTTGACTTCATGTTCTTGGGAAGCCTCAATCAGAACACCTTGCCCGTCAGCCAAATGCCAGAGGGTTGAGATACCTCCCCAAAGGTGTGTCTCTGTGTGTGTGTGTGCTTTCCCTGTCTCTCAGACATCGGGTTTAAAAATGATTGGCGGTCCGAGAAATAAGGAGACCTCAGGCGTATAACAAGCGGGCCAGTGATTATTATTTTTTATTGATAACACAGGAAAAGGAAAGTTTAGGAAAACCGCAGACAAGGTGACCCATGCAAAAACGAGATTACGGATAAATCGGAAAACACGGAAGAGATTTTTTTAGAAGTGTGGAGGGGAGGAGAGTGGGGAATTCGAAGGCAGCAATATAAGGGGGCGGGGGGGGACGACGAGAAAGGCCTTTATCAGCGTCTCTCTGCACCCCAGGAAAAGAAAATTAAACCGTTTTCTCAAAGCACACAAACTCTTAACTTTCGTGGCGTTTGGGTTACAATTGGCTGCGCGACTTTTAAAGCTTAGAAAAACGTGGCGGTGAAGCGTGGAAATGTGGAAGGCGATCGGCTGAAAAGCACTGAATGGCCTCGGGAGAAAACGGGGGCTTTGGCTTCACAGAGGCGGGTTCCCCCCCACACACACCCTCCCCGTTTAGCCTGCAGCCACCCCGGGAACTCGGTTCCCCCCCAAAAAACGATTTAAATTAAATTGGTGGATCGTGTTGTTTTTTTCTCGTTTGTTTGGTCAATCGCACAGATTATGCAGAGTTAACTTCAGCTCCTTCGCCAGCAGCCGGTTTTTGTCGAGCTGGCTGGAGAGACGATCTGCGGCCGCGCGGAAAGGAAGGAGGCGAGATTAGGGGAGAAAAAAGGGGGAGGGAGGAAGAGAATGAGAAGAGAGAAAGAGGGGAGGAAAAAAAGAAAGAAAGAAAAGGGAAGGTTAGTGGCCCCAGAAAGACGGCCCCCTCCCCACTGAGGCTACCACTGCAAATAAATCAGGATTTGGAGTCCTTTTCCCCACCCCCACCCCGCAAAAAAGGGTGGCTGGAGAGAGAAATATGTATCTTATCGATCGGAAAGATGGGAATGGTGTTGTGGATAAATGGAAATGCAGAACCGGCACCTATTCACAAGATTTAAGGCCCGAGGATCAGCCGGGGATGCCTGCCAGTGGAGGAACAAGTACGGGCTGATAATAAACATCAGGAGACTGGTTTGAGGTCAAATGGTCTTGTTATGGATGGGAGCTTGCCAATTTGAGGTTTGCAAGCCAATTCAGAGTTTCAAGCCAATTCGGAGCTTCAAGCCAAATCGGAGCTTCAAGTCAATTTGGAGTTTCAAGCCAATTCAGAGCTTCAAGCCAATTCAGAGCTTCAGGCCAATTTGAAGTTTGCAAGCCAATTCGGAGCTTCAAGCCAATTCGGAGTTTCAAGCCAATTCAGAGTTTGCAAGCCAATTCGGTGTTTGCAAGCCAATTCGGAGTTTCAAGTCAATTCGGAGCTTCAAGCCAATTTGGAACTTGCAAACCACAGACTTGCCTTTCTGTGTTTATGAACGGGATCCACAGGTTTATGGTGGGACGGGAACGACAGCCGATTACCCCCCCCCCAATTCGGGTTTTAGGCTTCGCCTACTGGCATGTCCGACCCACTTAAGGGTCAAATGAATTTGGGGGGGGGGGGGCTTGACTGCGAACAGCAATCCCGATCATTATTTTTTTTTAAATTTTTCATACGGAAAACGAACGTTTAAAAGTGTTAAAATGCGATAAGAATAATAACTAGGAGAATAATATACTTGTAAAGGTGTGTATGAGACTAAAAATACCCCCCCAAAATGTTTTAAATAAAACACTGGAAACCAGGGGGGGGAAAACCTCCCTAATTGAAGTCATTGTGACCGCAGGAAAGGATTAGAATGGCTTTGTAGCCGTTGTAATGCCAACAATGGGTTTTGCAAGTGGCTCTGTCGTAACTTTGAACGGTTGTAAGCCGAGGACTTCTTGTAAATCCACACCGTCTGCCCCCCCTCTAACCAGGAAATAGAGGGGTTCTTTTGGGGGCGCGGGGGGAGATTCCCGAACAAACCACACACAAGCCAACATGAGTGCATTTTTGCTTATTTTCCAGTGACAAGTGATACAACAGGGGGGGGGGGAGAGGAGAAACCATGTTGTGTCCCAGGCACTACACAGCCGCAAACGCTTCCCAGCCGTGCCCCAAATCGGCGTCGCTCGTCTCTTCCAGCCGCAAGTGAGCAGAGAGGGAGAGGGGGGGGAGCTCCCTGCAGAGAATAAACAGCCCCCCCCCCTACGAGTAAAGCCACCACAGAAAAGTCCACTAAGGCCACAAGATCACGAAGGTGGTTGTGTTTCGGAGGCGTGCAAGACCGGACAGCCGTGCCTCCCCCCACAGCCGGACGACACTTGTGCAAAGGATGAGCCTTCTCACCCTCCGTAATGGGGTGTACGTGAGATTTGGGGAGGGTGTGGGGGAGGGGGGGGGAAGGGGCAGGACTTGGAAGGAAGGAAGATGGCTAAAGAGATAAAAGGAAGGAAGGAAGGAAGGAAGGAAGGAAGGAAGGAAGGAAGGAAAGAAGGAAGATGGCTAGAGAGATAAATGTGAGGAGGGAGGGAAGAAGGGAGGGAGGAAGATGGCTAGACAAATAGATGGGAAGGAAGGAAGATGGCTAGAGAGATAAATGGGAGGAGGGAGGGAAGGAAGGAAAGAAGGAAGATGGCTAGAGATAAATCGGAGGAGGGAGGGAAGAAAGGAGGGAGGAAGATGGCTAGACAAATAGCTGGGAAAGAAGGAAGGTGGCTAGAGAGATAAATGGGAGGGAGGGAGGGAGGGAAGGAAGGAAGGAAGGATGGCTAGAGCAGCGGCTCTCAACCTGTGGGTCACCACCCCTTTGGGGATCGAACGACCCTTTCACAGGGGTCACCTAAGACCATAGGAAAACACATATTTTTGAAAAAATACGGAAAACATAAAATAATTTTATGGTTGGGAGTCACCATGACATGAGGAACTGTATTAAAGGGTCACGGCATTAGGAAGGTTGAGACCCACTGGGCTAGAGGGATAAATGGAAGGAAGGAAGGAAGGAAGGAAGGAAGGAAGGAAGGAAGAAGGAAGGAAGATGGCTAGATAAATAGGTGGGGAGGAAGGAAGGAAGGAATATGGCTAGAGAGATAAATAGGAGGGGAAGGGAGGGAGGAAGGAATATGGCTAGAGAGATAAATGAAAGAAAGGAAGAGAGGGAGGAAGGAAGATGGCTAGATAAATAGATGGGAAGGAATATGGCTAGAGAGATAAATAGGAGGCGAAGGGAGGGAGGGAGGGAGGAAGGAAGGAATATGGCTAGATATAAATGGAAGAAAGGAAGAGAGGGAGAAAGATGGCTAGATAAATAGATGGGAAGGAAGGAAGGAAGGAAGGAAGGAGGGAGGGAGGGAGGGAAGGGAGGAAAGGACCCGGGTTAACTTTTTTTTTTATAAAAGGCAGACTTTGAAAGCTGCAGGCTGAGTCGCTAAGTGGAACATTGGAATCACCAGTTTTATCTGTTTGCAAGAGAAAAAGAGAGAGAGAGGGAGAGAAAACGAAGGTTTTAGCTTTTGAGGAATTCTTGTGTGTGTGTGTGAATTGGAGCAGCAAGCAAGGGACGAGGCGAGCAGAAAAAAGGGACACAACCCTCGTGCTGCAACAACGGACGGGTGCAGTTAAGAGAAGCGAAGGGTCCAAGGAGGAGCCGAAACTCACACACAACCATGCCAACAACAACTCGGTGGAAGCGTCAAAAGATTTCCTCCAGGTTTCTGCCCAACGCCAAACAGGTGAAGAAGGAGAAGGATTAAAGACTCGAGTGAGCCACAACCGACCGGCATCACAACTTCGACAAAGTGACAACAAAATAAGGGTGGACCCTTTCAACGGGCCCGGGAATTGTGCACGGGACAGCGAGTTAGATAGCGGTGGTCACTCGAGGCACCCCGAGCATCACTTGACCCCCCCCCCAAAGCCCTGCGACACCACCACCCTCTCCGCCTTCTCACACCCCGACACACGCACACACAGCATGCCCAACACAAGGCCAACACACAAGCCCCCCCCCCCATTCCAGCGCACTGCAAACGTCGATATTTACATGGAAGTCATATCATTGAGGGCATGGTCCAATTCCTCGCTTATGGCTTTGTATTTCAATTTCTGAGCATACAGTTCATCTAAAACAAATTGGGAGGAAGGGGGGGGGGGGGGCATCAGGAGGTCAAACCAGGTTGGTTTTCCTTGAGACGAGCTCAAAGGATAACTGCGATCCAACCGTTCAAGGGTTCTCGTTGTATACATGATGTAGCAATAGCAATTAGACTTATATACCGCTTCATAGGGCTTTCAGCCCTCTCTAAGCGGTTTACAGAGTCAGCATATTGCCCCCAACAACAATCCGGGTCCCCATTTTACCCAGATAGATAGATAGATGATAGATGATAGATGGATAGATAGATAGATAGATAGATAGATAGATAGATAGATAGATAGATAGATAGATAGATAGATGATAGAT